TGGTGTAAATAGGAGTGGTGGGTGGCTCAGAGGAGCTTAGTCCTACAAAAAACGCACAAAGCTTCACAAATATTTTCCAACTCAACCACTTAAGTATAATAAATTACATATATTAATATATACCTTGATATTTCTAGACCCCACCAGATTTTTAACCAGATTTAAGTCTATGTTTATGTCTAAGCTAACAGAGGGACTTGGTATTTCATTTATTTAAAGCTTACAGATATATATTGTGTCACCTCCGTTCTTTCAATTTCAAAACCATCCTGCAGGATGAATCATGTCGTAATGCTAATTGAAACTCATCTATTCTAAATTATAATAATTAGAAACAAAATATCACTATGATGTCGAATCAATATTTTAAGTATTAAACAATTGTGTTGCTAACCACATGGCAACGGAAATCTTTAACTATTATCATAATTTATAATGCATCTATGGTCCACATAAATAATAATATGTAAACAAGGTGGATATATATATATATATATATCCACCTTGTATGTAACTATAGTGCTTGTACGAGTAACGCTTACTTAAAATATCAAATGATGATAATATGTCATAAATGTGAGTTTAAACCTTTATCGAAAATAATCTTTAATCTCAATTTGTAGTAATAACTGTCTATATGGGAATATAAAAATTATATTTTTATAATTAATTATGTATTATGTATGTGCGTATTATGATTCGTGTGTGTGTGTTAATTTCTAGAGACGACTTGATTGAAATAATAGTTTTTAAAATAATTAAATGTATTATTTAAATGTGATGCGTTTACACTATTTATATACAAATGTGCAATATAAATACGACATGGTTGATAATCACATTTTTAAAAACATAAACACAAACATGTGTGCAAACATAGTTTTACTCATAGACATATATAAATATATTTATATACATATATATATCTATGGTTCTACTATAAACTATCATATATTTCATAAAAATGTATTGTATAGTTACAATTTACATAACAATTTACAATGATATTGGCTAAGAAAATATAATATATTATATTGCATATCTACTTAACACATTTTGGTGTAAGTTATTTGAAAATATCTTGGAAACAAAATTATACTTAATTAGGTATACATTACGATAATTCGATGTCATACTTCATGATAATACGCATTGTCAGACATATTATTGTTATTATTATTTTAAGTAACGTTATCTAATATTTTTGTAAGTGTAAACATAATGTAATATATTGCAGAAACGTAGTTAATTATTCATAATCGAATATATTATTGTGAACGATATTATGTTGGTAAACGTTTTTCCTTACTTGTCTCCGAGAAGCATTTGTGCGTCAGACAAACTCGTTTCATAATTAATAACGTTCGCTGAATTAGAGTTGCTAAAACTTTACTCACTAGGTATTATTTCTGTGCGTATATTATTAAACACTTCTTCGTCGATCACGTACAGATCACGCCGGGTACAGTCACAGTGAAGTTTCATCTTGATTACATTTTTATTGGCAAGTTACACATGACCAAATAATTACCTTCCTACGAAAATAATAAAAAGTAGGTAAATAAAACGTGAGACGACCATATTATTGAAGGTAAAATGCTGACTGGCGCTTGATAAGTGATGAGCATTGACAGCTGGCATGACGGTTGACAGTGTTTTTTCTAACCTAACCTAACCTAACCTACCTATATAGTATATACGAGTAGTTTGTAGAGTTATTACTTATTAATAACTAGTAGGTTATCAGTTGTATGATCTAATATATTATAATATAGATCGTAAAAAAAAATTGTTCTTCCATTTATTATTTTTGTTGCCCCACCTGTTTGTGATAAGGATAACCGAACATTACATTTTTAAAAATGCAGAACAACACCGGAAACAATGATAAAAACCATGGCAACAAAATGGGTTTTACATTGACAATACTGCAAGAAATTGCACATGATTTTTAGTTGAAATGAAACTGAGTCAACAGAAATCTTTGTAGAGAAAAAGAGTGGTCCATGTGCTTACCCAGTGCAGCGAGCTTCTTATAATGCCTATAGGCATTAGATTCAATACATAATTGAAGACAGAACAGTTATAAGTAGGTTAATACAAATTACACATTATTATTTTGTGTTGTACAAAATAATACTACTTTATTCCGACAATTGACGAACCTCAAAAGAGTAAACAATTAAAATAATATTATAAAGACAACGATATAGTTAATATGTATAAAATAATAAAGGTACTCTATATTAACACATTTACTGGCTATAATTGGACGATTGTCTCCACTTTTCAATAAAGCCTGTATTGATGTATTGATAAACTAATTAAACACAAATACTATTATATATACTTAATATATATTATATAACATACTAAACATAATTTAGAAATTATAGAACTAAATCTTGGTCTACGATAAGAGGTATTACCTCAGTGTATGTCATCCATCATACTTTGTACACATTTCTTCTACTATCAATAAATATTATTATTGTTATTAAATAGTAATGCACATGTAAATTTTATATTTTTATCTATTGTGATTTAAAAAATACTAGTCTTATGATTCAAAATATGAATTCTGACAGATCAAATGTCGATCAATGATTTTTTAACAAATAATATGTATAATAACTAATAAGAATATGAATATTGATTAGATGACTAACCTTATACATATTTAGAGATACCATATCCATATCATATTATTAGATTATTAAGAAACCTGCAACATGACCTTTTATTTTTTTATTTTTTTATTTTTCTTAAATGTTAATATAACTCATATTTTACTGCGTGGGTACAATGTATGTTTTAACCCTTAAAATACATTCAATAATATAAAGATAAAATAATATTTTATTTCAAAATATCAAACTTATTATCTTATTATTTACTACATTTTTATTTTGACACGATGTATGTGTGGGTTGGTCCGTAAGCCCCCAGGGGTTTAACCTTTTAAAAATGTCTCTGAAGAATATCTGACGAATAAACTCAGATCGAATAATATTGCAACGGCTTTCTACCGTGTTCAATATTTATATTATTTAGTTCCAATAAGTTTGTTGCAATATCATTACGCTGAGAAACAGCCACCCGGCCACCACCCTGTATAAGAGAAACACGAATAAAAAATAATAAATGATCAAAGTTCAACTTGAGTTTCGAGCGGATGTAATGATACATGGTTCGAACCATTGCGCTTAACCCATGACTGCCGAAAGGTATGCTTCCTTAATAATATTACAGTTGTGTACACTGACTTATTTAAACTTATAATTGCGAGCTTTTTTTTCTCCCCAAATGGCTGTATAAAATAATATCGTACAAAGGTACCATATTTTTACTGCGTTATTTACCGCGATTATTATATTTTCAACATAAAACGTTTGTTATAATTCAGTAACACTATAGGTAGGTAATGGCTACCAATGTACTCGGTCTAATATTTTCTGAAACCACAGTATTTTCAACGATGGGTGCGTGTGTGTGTAGTGAGGTTGATTTTTCGTTAACAATACTGAATACAGTCAATTATACTTGTAATATTATTGTTCGGTATTGGAATAATATAAGTACTAACTGTTATGAAAAAAAACAAGTGTGTCTTTTGCTTTACTATTATAGTTGCAGTATATGAGTCAATATTTAGCTATTATTGCTTAATAGTGAATATTTAAAAAATACATTCGTTTAAAAAACATAATTTGTTGTATTTTATTAATAAATAGTGGTAAGTATACTCTACTGCAATAGTCTTACTGTGATGCATAATGAATATTATTTAGTAGTATATAATACTAAAATATTGTGTCGAACGCAATTTGTATATCATCACATTTCCCTACCTCCCTACTCGTCATTTTTGTATATGTAATATTATATTTGCAATATGAGACTGGTATAATTAAACAAAATCTGCCTATCAATAAGTCAACAAGTGTTGCCAGAATTATCAGGATTTTCGTAAACAGTTTGTTAGAATACGTTGCTGTGTACCAAGCGCTGTTTGACGGAATAACAATTTTAAGTTTACAGTCGGTATGATCGTATATTATTTAAAACCATCGTATACACTAATATACTACACTGATTTGACATGGGTAAAAATCATTAAAATGCATCCAATTTACTTACAGACCTAATAATATCTTATCAGTGTTAAGTGATTCGTAGTTTTGACTCTTAAAGTTACATGACGCATACGAAATTATGACCCTAAAAGTAAATAATAATACGAACTGTCAATGCTGTGATTTACTAATTTACTAAACAGTCCATCGTTAATATTTGTATAATGAATCTACAAAATAATATTTTTTTTATACTTACCATTTATCTCGTACATAAGTTTGTCTAAATATAATATTAACTTTTAAATTGGTTTTAATATTTATATTTTCATAAAAGTTTCCTCGCATCATTTTAGATATTAATTTATGTAAGAGTAGCTAATTAGAATTTAACTATCATCAGAGTCCAATCGGCAATCACCTAATAAGCACCAAAACAGAGGTGTGGTTTATATTATTATCATTCTAACTACGCAAATTGAATGCATACATTTGAAATTGAACGTTAACAATATAATTTTTAATTAGACAATGTATAATGAGCTAATTTATTTAACAATTCTTAATATAAATAAATAGCAAACAAATAAGGACAAATAAAAATAATAGACAATTACATTTTACCTTTGGTATCTTTACGGTTTATTGTAGAAACATAATATACATATTAGGTGTACTGTGATTATTAATAATCACATAACAATTTATAGTTAATAATTAATAAATTATATGAATTAAAATCAATACTAAACATTAGATAAATCTCGATTGAACATAGCAAAATCATACTTTTTGATAAACCTGTCAGTAAATGGCGTGTAGAGCAAGAACAGTATTGATTAAAATTATTTTTTTAATATAACAGTATTTATATAGGTATATTTTCAATTTTTGAAATCCGTTTGGAGCAAATTTTTGTTTATTCGTGAAAATAATGTATTCATGAATTAAATGTGAGTATTGCGAGGGCAAGGGCGATGCGATTATTTATTAAATATTATTTATGCGTTGGAATAATAAGCCGCCAGTACACAGATATTATAAATGAGAGAGAGAGAGAGAGAGAGAGAGAGAGAGGAGCGACCTCAACGACGCTCGACGGAGAGTAGTCTCTTTAGCAGGTGGACACGTAAAAACAGTAACATTATAATATATTAAGTAAGTACTTATAATAAAGGATATTATATTTATATATATACAAAAAATCAAAAACAATATTCTTAATAAATAGATATTAAACGACAGGATAATGACAATGACTTCGGATACGGAATACACTTGACGCGGACGTCTATACACATTATGTTACACTTATGATATAAAGGTACCGATTAAAATATTTCATATATTAGCAATAAAACGGTTCGATACAGCTGGCCTGGTATTTACCTGCCGCAGAGACGACTGTTGACTACATAAACTATTAGTATACATAATTCGTTAGGGTTTCGATTGGACGCCGTCAGTACTTACGACCGGCCAACTTTTCATGACCACGATTACCCTTGTCGTTGATGATGATGTTGTTGTTGTTGTGGCTGTTGTGGCTGTTGTATTGATGATACTGGCCACTGGGTTGTGGTTTGCCATTCACGTCTACAAATTCCACGTCGGGCGGTAACACTGTACCGCCCGAAGATTGCTGTTGGGCCGCGACCAGCTCGTTGACCAAAGTGTCACCGTGCAAGCTGATTGGCGGTTGAGACGGACGAGATCCGTGATTCTGGGGCGGATACGGCACTTGGTTCGGTGCCGGGTAAAAGCCTTGGTTAGGTACCGGGTAATAACCTTGGTTCGGTGCCGGGTAATAACCTTGGTTCGGTGGCGGATAATAACCTTGGTTTGGTGCCGGGTAAAAGCCCTGGTTCGGCGTGTGATATGATCCGTGGTACTGCTTCTGCTGCAAAAGGCCGGCCGGTTGTTGACGCGATCCGTACAGCGGAGCGTAAGGAGCGTAGTAACTGGCCGCGGCAGTCTGGAAGTGATCGTCTAGAGGACCGGCGGGTGTCTGCGAGAGAAAAAAAAATAAGAGGTGTGATCATCGGAGGATTTTGACAGTATTATTTTAATATACGTGACGTGGTCGCTCACAAACAATACGTACGTACTTAACATTAATAGGTATAATATTATATAATATTACGATTTACGATTGTTAATTCGATTAGGTATCTATATTATTATGTTAATGCGTAAATCTGCGAGTTAGTGATAATTAATTTAATGCGAAGTGGCTACAGTATACATGACTATTGACCAAAATAATATTGGTGTAATTATTCAAAATAACGAAGTACATCTGATAATAGTTATTGTAATATATATTCTAATATAACTAGTTTTCATTAATAATTACAACTTACAAAGTACCTGTTATTAATATTTAACAATATAATAATATTATATATAATATATAATACTGAAACTAATTTTATAAACCTGGAATGTGAGTTACTTTGAACTTGGTGATTGACTACCTATATTGTCTAAATACTACAATACAGTTTTCATAATTTTTATCTATATACTAATACTACGTGGGTTTTAAAGCCTTCGGTGAATGTTCTTTATGTACAGCGTTTACGCCAATTTGATTCCGAAAAGCGGATAGGCAAGATTGCAGAGAGGCATATAAATAACATGTATAAACATAATAATACAACTGATTAAGCCGTGCGATCGGTCCAAAAGACTAAAAAAAATAAAACTGATACGTACCTGTGTTTGGCAGCCATTCCGATCGATGGCCCAGGAGAAACCGCTCAAAACCAACCATTATTTTATTTACAATATATTTTTATTCTGTGACTCCGATACTGTTCTCTTTGGTATTTTCTGTATTCCAAACTCTTGTTTTAACAAAGCACCATTTCGCCTGCATTTTTCGTACCAAACAGATTTGGTCACAATGATATTATAATAATATTAGATCTCTATCCACGTGCATGGTTTAAATCGTATATGGTGAACGGTGTAATCACAAAACCACAATAAAGCTGTTTGACCATTAAATAATACATTATATTGATCTGAAGCGGTAAAATGAATTCCCAAATTCCTATTTGCGGTGGGAGTACACAAATGTACAGCACTACGCTGCAATATTATCAAAATTTACATCGCAAAAAGCAAAACAAATTACAAAACATACAACCTGCCATAATCATAATTACTGAATACCTATAATGATATACGGAAAACGAAATAAATACAATAATTAAGTATAAATATTATTACAAACACCGACTCGGCTATTTACGACTATCTAAAATACATTTGAACCGATCAAAATAAAAAGCAGCAAATTATTATATACACGCTGAATTATATTTATGCATTTAACAACACTTTGAAACGACGTGGCAAATAAAAACTCGAGTCGTTCAAGGCGGTAAATCCTAAAAGGTTTTATTCACACAAGTCAAAATAAATATAATAAGAATATGTTTTATAATAAGAACTAATGCTTTAAAATGAAATACAAAACTAATTTTTCTTTATAAAAATAATCTCTACACAGACTATAACAGGTATCGCGAGACTTTTGATAAAGTTATAATATTTTGTCTTACAAAAAAATAATGATTAAAAAAATACAACACTATATTCGAAATTATTATGGCAAATGGTTTATTCCAATCAAATGTTTTTAATATAAAATATTATAAATGTATTATATATAGTTATGTAATATTATGTAGGTATAATAATATATTTTGATTGTATGGTCTTTGTTACATTTTGATTTTTATAATAAATATTAAACAACTAATTAAATTTTAATATTCCGCTATTCCGATATCGACGATGATAATAAGTAATAACAATAGCTAATAATTAATAATTGCACGGATATTTTTACCATCGAGTTGAGAGGAAAAGATTTTTATTATCATCATATTGTTAACGGTACTTTATACGCAATCGGTTTTTTGATAAAATTAAATATTAGGTATATTTAAACAGTATATTATTATAATATTAGGGTTGTTAATGATGATACTTGGGAAAATAACTTACACAAGCGTTAGGTATATATTAATTCAATCCGTCGTCGCGACGAACTGGTCTTTAGGTTATTAAAATACTATATTATATTATAATAGCTGATATTAATATTATGTGTACAAGAAGCCGCTGCTATCTCGTTATTCTACCTTTTTTACAAAGTTCTTCCGGTCGTCGAAATTCTGCATTGTAACGGACGGGACGGGTTTGATTTCGTTCGTCTCCACTTTTTGCGTCTCTGAATCGTCGTTGGATATTGATATCAGTTTTTCGTTTGACATTTTTTTGTTCATCTCTTCGGGCAGCACTTGAATCTCTTTAAAATGGTAGAAACTCTTGTGATTTTCGTCTCCGTCGCTAACCGTGGTTTCGTTTATTTGTACTCTGTGTCCGTCAATGATCTATATACGTATATGCGCAATAACAAACGAAATTGACATAATTAATGTACCCAAATCCACAACAACGTATAATATTAAGTTTGAAAAGCAGTGTTTATAAAGTAAAGTAAACAGCGCATTTTGTTTTAGATACCCTCTTCAAAATGGCACGAGTGAATAAGTTTTATCGAGTCTCTTGGTACAAAAGCTTTGGGAGTGTTGTCCATCACTGCAGATTCAAAACTCTAACGAATTCTCTATTTTACGTTTTTTAATGTAGTAACACCCAACGGGTAAAATACGTGAAATGCGTGACAATTACGGTTGAGTTATTAATACGAATAAATATAATACGTTAGCAAATGTTTGAATTCCGATAGTTATAGGTAATACAAGAATATGCAAACGTTGCATACATATGCATTTTTAGACGGGGGATTTCGATATTAAAAAATGTTAGACACGTTTAAGACGTAATACGTGTTCGAGTAACTCACAGTAGGTAAAGTACCTGGTACCAAGTACCTATGTGGAGTGCGTATATTATAATATAATTTTGTAGTCGATCGTATAAAATAAATTGGTCGTTAGCACCGCGAAAACCTGCTGAAATCTCCTGCACTGCAGTAATTCAGTACCTAACTTTAATAAGGACAACGCGCGTTGAAATTTATAATACAGCTCTATAATTTAATACAGAAAATATAAAGCGTTAGATATGCGCATAAAACATAACTGATTTACTATAGAAATGAACATCACGTAAAGACTTGTAAATGCAGAAACGTGCACAGAATCAAATGAAAATTAGCAGTAAAAATGAATTTTTTAAGCTTCCCTTTTTTTTACTCGCAACATTTATTTAATAAAAAATTCGTACTTTGGTTTTTAAGTCTTTCGAGCAATTTGTACAAATATTCCGTAATATCATTCTCTATGCTGTTTCAGAGAGTAGGCCATTTTAAAAATCGATTTTATAAGATTTAATTTTACAGCGAAATAGTTGTATCTACTGTTAATACATGTGAGTATAATATTATTATGAGTTATGAATGTTGACTAGTCAATACATATAAAATAATGTAAAATATTATAATATGTAAAAAGATAAAATCATGAGTCGTCAATCATGAAAATCTCAAGAAGTACCTCCGAAAAATGTATTTTGAGTTCGAATTGAATTTAAAATAGAATGGTAATAATTATGTATGAGTTTTCTGCTGCCATGAATTCTAAACTGTTCATAACATTTTTTCCTTCATTATTATTTACAGTTGAATATAGCGATTTTGGCAAATTAGTGCTGCTACCTGATGTAGTGATGTCTATATATTACATTTCAATTTCGACTGATTTAAATAGTGCAAAAACAAACAATTATTTTCAAGGAGTGTATTGGATCCATTACCTCGGTCTTGGAAGTAGTCTTCCTCACGGGCTTGTTTGAGCCTTCTTGCGCAACACCCACACTTTCCAATGGTGGCAAGCCCATTTTGTCGAAAGATTCCAACATGCCTATAATTTAAATTTAAAAACAAAAATACTTAAAATAATGTAACATAAGTTATTGTTATTGTTATTATTATTATTTATGCTTTAGTATATTTTAGCACAGACCATATTATAGTCGTCGTAATGAAAATAATATATAATACGCATTATCGTTAAAATAATAAATACAAGTTGCAAATTTAACGCAGCTATAGAGCTAACAGCTAAACGTTATTACTTATTAGGTATCGACTAATAATATTTATTGTTTCCAAGTGATTCTTTCATCAGTATAGTCATTTTATAGTTGAATGTATGTTTTTTTAATAACAATTTTACATTATTTTAAGTCATTACCACAAAAAGTGTTTTAAAACAAAATATATTTAATAGTTTTGTTTTCCAAAAATGACGTGTCTGACATTAATAATTACTAAACATTCTGTTTTCAAAAACACATTATTCATCTACAACTGATACCGATTAATTACTGTTAGCGTCGATAAAAAAAATTAATAATCACTCGCTTTACTTACCTATATTATTAAAATATAATAAAATACGTCATGCAACATTTACCTGACGGCTCGTGATGCCGAAAAGCGTTAAGCATGATGTTCATTAGCAACGGAATGGGTGGCATTGCAGTTGTATTAACTCGGACGTTTCTTTTCGGTTTTAATATTACGATTCCGGGCGCTGTGAACGAAGCGGTTAATGTTGGTTAGTATTTGTTAAGCGAACGATTTAATGGTTATCATGGAAATGGTGTTAACAATGTGGCGATATTAAACAGCCTTTATATAATATAATGTTAATGTTTGTGTTAACAAGGCATTGTTATTATCATTATTATTATTATCATCATCAATAAAGGCGCCAAGTACACGCTACGGGGGTGTTTAGGATGAGCTACAATGGGCAAAAAGTGGATGGTTTTCGTTTTAAACTCAGGTTTATAATATCGTATTTATATTTTGAGCCTATTGAACGAAAATAAAATATATATTAGTTTTTTTGATGTTTTTCTAGAAACTTGTTTTTAAAATTAATATTATTATACTTGGCCACTTGGGTGTGTTATCATCAGTATCTGATAATTTTATTTACTAACTTGGCGCCAACATATTATAGTGATAATAATTCGTTGTCCAGTATTCATGCACTAGAGACATTCCTAATATTAAAATAAAATAAAATTTCATCATATGTTGTTACTATTATTCTAGTGTTATCGTGATTTTAAATAGCATAACTTTGTATTATTAAATCATTTTTAGATGATAAAAAATACAATTTACTGGTGGCACGTACTTCTGAACTCGTTGGTGTACGCTTCAACCATCTGGTTGAAAGGTTGGGCGTTCATGGGATTTGCGAATGGATCGAAGGGGGCGCCGAACGGTATCGGTTGGTGTCTAAACGGTTGTTCCGGGTGTTTGGACATGAAAGGCTGGAACGGCTGGAAAGGCTGGAAAGACTGGAAAGGCTGGAAAAATTCCAAAAAGAACGGCATATTGGGTCCTACTTTCACTGTTTGCACCTCGCCTGTGTAGTATGGTTTGGGCTTTTGGCCTTGGACGGGAACAGAGGGGTTAGGTTTGGCGTCGGAGTTGGGCGAGTTTGTTCCGGCTACGCTGTCCGTTTGTTCAACGTAGATGGCCGTTGTGGGAACGTCGGATTCAGACTTCTTGTTTGAGACTTCCGGTAAGACCGAGTCGGTTCCGACCACTGGAATTTCTGATCCAACCGTCACTTCTTCCGCTTGACTGGACTGCTGCACATCCGGAGATGATTCGGTCACGTCCGTTTGTAGAACCGAAGTGTCCGTTCCCTTCATTTGTTGTTGTTCAGACTCCTGCTTCTGAACTACCTCCTCCGACGAGGTGTCAATTTCCAAATTTTCCTTCGCATTAGCTGAAAATTAATGTTCAAATTTATTAGCGAGTAGTGACCAATCGATTCATGTATTATTCGCTTTTTATTTCGTGTAGTTTTGTAAAAAGTTAGATCGACCTCTATTATTCTCTAATACATTTCGAACATCACTATATTATATTATAAATACGAATAATGCGCATTGAAAGAGTAAGTGTGTGGGGCCAACATCGATGGTGTTGTATTATAGTCCTATATTCAAATGCTGAAATGGGTAGCTACGTCATATATATCCTGTGTAGTGCGTTCCTTGTGTAATCTGTGAAAATCCACTTTCGAAGGTATTTGTACCTACGTATCCGAAACTCACACAAAACTAAACCAATCATATATAAACCGTAAACATAAACCTAGTATTGTCAACATGCAATCGAATATATGTACTGAACAGCTAGTGTAAACTTTCACTGTTTTTGAAACGAATATAATGTTAGGGAAACAATACTTATTTCCGAAATAAAAAGCAATTCTTTCGTCATCAAAACTTTACCACAGATGGGTTTAGCGTTAATTATTTCTTTTTAAATTGTACACAAAGTTATTTTTACAATGTTTAATCGCCAATCACAACATGCTCATCACTGAACGGGTATTGAATTAATGTACATGCAATACTTTAATCAGACGTTATACGGTGTGAAAACACAATACGTCATGTGTCATAATTTTTTTATAACACAATAGTTAAACAATATCAATTCAATTAATTTAACTCCATCGAATATGAAGTTACAGTCATCTTACCACTTATCGCAATATCACAAACATGTATACGTTACAAAATCGAAATATCAAATCAATATAATATGATTTTGAGTTGTTATTGTCCCAAACATACTATTGTAATACAATTCTCGTCATCAATATTCATAATATATTAATCGTACTTATAAAATCGTCATATAATGTTAATATTGAAAAATTATGTAGTGCATTCGCATTATAATACTTAGGCATGAAAAGTGCACTACACCGTTCAACGACAGTTCGCGCAGAACAAATAATAATAATCATAATCGTCGACTGCAATCTCTTTGTCACTAAACGGTATTCAAATTGATCACGCCGGATGAGCGTCACGCGCTCCTTGTCGTGTTGAATACCAATAAGTATTATAATAATGTTATTATTATCATCAGCTCCAGACGAGCGAGTACGACACGACAAAACTTTAATCGCAAAACGTGCGATTAATCTGTGCACCGCCACTGTTTCACACCGAGTAGTGTTAATCATACAAAATTGCACACGAGGACCTAATAAAATCTGTTCACTTCAACTGCGTCAGTGCCAGTTTAGTATATACCGGTGATACAGTTGTAAAATATGCAGTTACGGGTTTAAGTATAGATAAATGCTTGGGGCAAGCTAACCCCATAATTATTTTAATAACCTCCGAACTCCCAGGAAATTGTTAATATTTATAATTTAAGTTATTAAGTTGATCGCAGCTATTATATTTATATATAAAACATAAATATTGTATTACTATAATATGGGTAATACTATTATAGCCGTGGACAAATTCAAAAATAAGTTCGATCGCAGTGAACACTCGGTATAGTAACTCTACACCTCTACAAAAATGTATGGAATGAAAATGTATAATAATCAGGGTAGAATATAGGTAGTTGAATATTTAATTGAATTTCATAAAATTTGTAACATTTTTGAAAATGATTATGTTTATAAGCCGAAATTCAAAATGATTATTATTTTTCATTTACTTAACGTTGTGTATTAAGAATAGTACTCTATGATAATAGGTTTACTTAACCTAACCTATAGGCTATAACCATCGTGACTACCCAAAATCGTTAGATCATATAAAATAACTAAAATATTCTAAATAATTGAAAATATGACCTTAAAACGCATAAAAATTAATTTGAATAAATGTATAAATAAAGGACACATGGGGGCCCCATGCATTAGGCGTGCTTATTGAATCATCTTGTATATTTTGTATATTGATAGTCATTTGTCGTTTAAATTTAAAAAAAAAATGTACACGATGACGTGCGGCGTATTAATGAACAAAATAATATATTTCATATTATTACGATGTTAAAATAACGTCAATAATCTCTCACGTCTGTTAGCCCGTCTCATTCGGAACACCGTCATGATATTATTTTTTATATCTACCTCTCATTTCGTCACGAGTCGACTCAGGAAAACATGATACAACATTATTAAGACGTACCATAATAATATGATGTATAGTGTATACGTACTATGGCTCATTATTGTAATGGTGTATACCATTATTATTTTAATTTATATTTTTTGAAAACCACGGGATTTTTATAAAAAAAAACAGCACAATTTCACGGTGCAGCGTGTTAAGATTGTTGAACTTTATTATTCATGATTTTATTTTTTGACTACTTCTCAAAATAGTTCTTACATTTCCCTGTAAGTCAATCATTATACGGTAATTTTGTTGTAATTAAAACTAATACGTTTTGGTTTCATTCACATGTGTATAATATTGTTATATGAATGATTGGCCCGGTAAACAAATGCGCAGAGCTGACTTACCTATGATGATAATTAATAGGTCTCGTGGTATTAATATTTTATTTAACAATGCATTATAATTAGATATCATGGGACAAGTGAAGGCCAAAGAGGTTACGCGATTAACGTTATATAGAATATTATAATGTAAACAATACACAGGTTCGTGTTAAAAGATCCATCGTGCCTTCGTATTATTTAGTAACCTTCGAATCGACGATAAAATAGTACTTATTTTATAATAGTTAATGAATATAAAAGAATAAAAAAAGAAAGAAAAAAGAAAGAAAGAATGAAAGAAAAAAAGGAGTACAACATTACTGAAAACATATTTTTGTCATTGTAATTTTTTTCCGCGTTAATAGCGTTAGAAGACAATTTATTAAAAAATCTGTTTGGTCATTGTAATTCGTACTATAAACGAAATTATTAAGATGAAATTTCTTATAAATATTACGCACTCGTATAATTGTTACCAGGAAAAAACTGAACAGCCAAACTCATGGCTTAAAATTAACAAAATTATATTTTGTACCTAGATACGTCATAATGTATTACCACAATAGAGACCATGTTGGCATATTTAAACTATTATTCCTCCTACTAAAAACTAGTTATATTTTTATTCAACCAATTAAAAAAATTAATGAATACTCATTTTAAAAAACACATAGATCCCACTGGTACTTTCAAACCATACACATTAAAACATGCACATAATACCCATCATAGTAGTTTAATTATTTGACCAGTTGTAAAATAATCGTTTTTGCCTCAATGACTTCGCAAATGGTTTAACTACCGATCAACAACGAAAATAAATACCGAAAAAATTGAAAATAATACAATATATTATGCATTTATGCGACTGTAAACATAAGCTGCATAGACGAATGCGCGTATGATAAAAATGCAATTAAACAAGCAGTGACGGCTGTGCTAGGAAAAAATAGATTTATTTTGATCTTTAGCCATTTCTATTGATTCACTGGACCTAAAAATAATTCAGGCTCTTCGAGGTGCACAGTATTATAGTTAGTTATTATAGCGATCGCGTGTATCTTATAGGTACCTGAAGAATATACAAATATTAATGAAAATAAAAATTATTGGTGCACACAAATCTTCATTTACCGCCGTAGATATCTCGAAATATTGAACATTTTTATCTTATTACATTATGCTCTCACTATTTTTCAATTGTAAGTTGTATATTTTACTGCACATCCTGGATAATATGTTAAATTATAGGGAGTTCCAATAATTTTGAGGGACTATATTATAAAGGATTAAAATTATAGGGCCCAAGTGTAAAAATATGAATAATATTGAAACATTTTTAACAGAATATTTTTTTTTGAAATATAAATATGTTTTTGGGCGATTTTTTGTTTTTGAACGATTTTTGTTAATTTTTTAGTAGTCATGGTTACTTATAAACAAAAACATATTATTTATGATTCATAGGTTTTCCTTGTATAGGAAAAATATCGAGTAGCTTACTATGGTTTTTTATTGTTAGGTTTTATTGTAATTTTATAGTGAATACAATATAATAATATCATTACGATTTTACTACCTGATGTGTCTAATTATAGGTATAAGATACCGGCGTGTGTTCCCCTGAACTCATAATATACCGCAATCTAGCTGTTCGACATCGAGTAATCGGCAATACAGCTCACTTCCAATGATGATAATTAAATAATAATTGATCGTTTGTATTAATTCGTTGACATTACAACAATATAATATTACCATTGTGGAAATGGTCAGTTCCCTCTAATGATGATGCGCCCACGTCAATAATACTCAACCGCGGTCAATTTGCGTATTTCAACAGCGTCGGCAGGTAATGAGCTTATATTATAATAATATTATAATCGAGTAGAGTTCCGACTGTTCCAAGATTAAGCACATTGTCCACCATTCGAACAATAACATTCAATAATCCACTCCAATTGAATCTAATTTAAGCTCACCGCAGTTTAAATCCGAGTGTCTGGTAGTTAAATTTAGGCACATTATACTATAATAAGCCCTCGTTTAAAGTTACAAACTGCATGCCTTTAACCCACCATAGGTATAGGTTAGCTAATATGGCTACTAAAGGTTAACTAATATAATGTGTCACACAGTCGGTGATGACTTAAAAATCACAGCAAAACGTTTTGTCTCTTTAGAGATTTTATACTCCGCACTGGCGTGTCAGCCGCATATTCGCATGTGCTGTACTGCTGTGTCGAAGGTATTTATTTAAAATATTTTTATTAAAATCATTCCGTAAAAGTTAAGCAGCGCGTGTTTACATAAAGAAAAAATAACAACGCTCCAACCACACTGCAGTATGTATGATATGAGATTTTTATTATCTCAACGTATTACACCAAAAACAATCTTGATAGAATTATATTACGCATATTGAAAACGGTTAATCATCGAGATAAAACTCAGTC